CTTTCCAAATTAAGGCACACACACCCTCCTCAAATCCTCTGAATGGTAAATCAGCTTTGATGGCTTTTGGAAGCTCTGAACTCTACGGTGGCTGCCGGCCGACCTTCTTTCCCCTTTTGAGGATGAGTAATATATGGTGAGTAACATACATGATAGGTGGCACGCACTTAATGAGTTGAAAAACATGTAGAAGCCACGTAGGATTAATTTTATATTTTATATATAGTCATTTTTCTTGTCGTTTTATTTAATTAGAGTTGCCGTTTTGGTAAGAGTGTGGGCTGGAGTGCAGATGGTGCTTGAGAAACTTTTCCTTCTCATTCACAGCTTGACTATGAAATTAGCTCTCTACTTAGTCTGCTTCACCGTGTTTCCCCCCTAAACTCTGTCTATAATCGGTATCAATGTGAGTAATATATCGGAGATCATTCTCTTCTTTACTTGATTTCCCTTGTATTTCTCTACTCTGAGTATCCCAGGCATCAATGGGAGTCCGACGGGAAAGATTTGAGTGGTGAGGCTAGTCCGGTGGTGAGAAGGGGAGACAAGAAAAGGAAAGAGACAACGGGGATGGGCAATGGGTCACAGTCGGAGAAAAGATTGGAAGAGGAAGATTGTGGGTTCTGTTTAGTGGTCAATGAGAGGCGGGCTTAGTGAGTGTTAAACCGCGAAGGAAGAAGGGGAGGGAAAGAAGGGGCTAGATGTTGGTGATTGTAGCAAAATAGTCTTATGATGCAAAAAACGAGGAGGTGGTTCAGTGACGGAAGGGGGCTTTCCGGTGGAGAGAAGGGAAGGCTGCTCACAGGGAAGAAGAGAAGGAGAAAGAGACTCGGTGGTCACTGAAAAAATCAAAAGGTTTCCTTTCTTTTTTTTAAGATTTTTGGGTGTTATGGAGCTTGGTGGTGGATTATTGAGAACTTATTGTTTATGTGATTTAGTTTGGTGGGATTGCTTTTAATTCCTTAATGTGCTTTGTATGTTTTTTGAATGCTGCATTGTGTTATATACTGCTATGGTTCTGTTTATAGGGCATATTAGTTAGGCATTTTGTTGCGGTGGCTTGCGTGTTTTCAAGGGTCCTTCTATCTGCATTGCTATAGGCATTTGTGTTCTATACTTGCCAGCATTGGTGTTCACTCTTCCTATTAATAGTTTGGCTGATGAAACTAATATTCCATTTTGTGTATGTTTTTTTCCTTCATTATAGCCTTCTGCAGTAATGACAATGACTCTATGAGGACCTAGTAATGACAACTAGTGGAATGCCAAGGGAGTAGACAGCGGACATTTGGTCGGGTTGTTTAATTATTTTCCTCTTCGTTATGATCTTGGCATTTTTGTAATTCTTTTGAGATAGCTAATTTGTTGGATAACATAATTCCCCTTCCCCATTGTACTCTTCAGACATATGATTTCTCTGAAATGTTTCTTGCTGATTAATCTCCTGTGTGGTACGACAAAGTCCAAATGCTAGTAGCTATAGTTTCTTGCTTGTTAGTTATCTAATGTGGTTTAACAGATTCTAAATCCTAATACCTTTCTGTTGGAGCTGATATATACTTTCTAAAATATTTTTTCTCTTCTTCAAAATTTGCATTGAATTTGGCCAGTGGTGTTAATGTTTTTGATTCCCACAGATTGTGAAAGAATAGGTGAAAAAGGTCACAGAGACTAAGGGGTTCAATGAGCAGCTGGTCAAAAGAAGCAAATGCAAATGTCTTCACCTTTGCCTCTTATCAATTGGAGGTATGAACTTTCCTCCCTAATCTCCTTTAACTTAGTGATAGGTGTAATTCTCGGAAAGGAATATAAGAAGAAGAAGCTAATTGATGAGTACAATCTTTTTGTTTTTCTCCTCTTCCTTTGGTATGCACTATTCTGTCTGAACATGTGATATGCCATTGGATGATAAAAAAATTATAGTATTATATATCATGAAATGGCTAATGTATTCGAGAGACAAACATGTAGTCTAAACTGAAATTGCATTGTATTTTATCATTGAATTTGTAGAATGTTGAAACTATTTTGTGATTTTAACTATTTTAAATCCAGGTACATGGACCTGGTGCAAATACAGACACTTTATGTGTTAGACCTTGACATGTTACTCAAGAGGCAAGATATGAACTTGCATCCTGAGTTTAGAAAAAATGTTCCAACTTTTTTGCTGTAAAGACTTCATGAGATAAAATCTCTCCTTGAAAATTCTGCTATGGTCATGAAAGCTCAAAACTGTATGTCTGTAAATGCTACAGAAAAATGTAGAAAGTGTGTGCTCATCTTGATGCAATTTCTAAATTCTCCTAAAAAATTTCTCTCTTTCTGTGGGGGGCTTGTCTGTGTCCGTTCATGTCATTCTCTCTTTAGTTTATTAGATTCGAAAGGATATTATGTAACATATTTCTTTTAGCACCTTAGTACAAATCTTCCTTTCTCCTTATCATGTTTTTGGTTTGGATTAGTTAGAAGGCCTAGCTATCATGTTGATTTTTGAGTTCTACTTACTGAAGATTACAGTGTAAAAAGACTATTAATCTGGAATTAGCCAACCTTTTTTCTTCCTGGTGGTGTTTGTTTTTTGGAAGAAAGCTACACCTTATCTTTAAGTTTTTAATTTTGATTTGCAATGGTGAAATAAATAGTGAAAGTGATTATTTTGGACATTCTAATTTTTATTATTTGTTTTACAAATTATGCATCATAACTTTGGATTTTGCAATATCAGTGTCTGGAATTAGAGAAGATGGATGAATTTGGATTGGGAGCTTCTCATCTTTGTTATTTTGATTTTTTTATCAGGTTTGGTTCTAAATGACAAGTTGGATTGGGGAATTAGCAACTATACCTCTTTAAGATCACTCATGCTTCAACAATGATGGTATTAGACTATTAGTGAGGTGGGCATTTTCAAATGCAATATCTGTTTTGACTTGGCTTGAGACCTAATTGTGACTTGGTTCAGTATTTGATAGTTTGGAATGCAATGTCTGATTTTTTGCACTACATCTCTGAATTGTGGTTCAGGTTGGGGTTCTTATTGGCAAAGCTGGACAGACCATAAGGTCCCTTTAATAAAATCTAGGGGACAATCATATCAAGGTGATCTAGATCTCTTTTCATCCTTTTTGCTGTAGATATGATCTCCATTGATAAAAGAAGCTAATCTATTTGTGGGCATTGAATTGTTGAAACCAATTAGAAGAGCTCATGTCTGGTCAAGATCTGTTTATGATTGATATAAAGGTAAACATTAACTCACTCTATGCTTGATTGTTTTCTATTCTTTTTTCTGATCACAACTTAAGCAAACTTTACTACTTTTAGGCCATTGGCATCATTTTTTTTTTTGGTAACTTTGTAATCAGAATGTTGCTTTGCAATCCGCCCAAAACTGGAGGTGGCGGACCACAGGGATTATTTCCAAGTGTTGCTACAAAACTGTAGGTTTGAGCTGCAGTAGCAGCAATGGTGTTTATTTGTGAGATGCCACATTGTGCTTTGTTACTGAAGTTTCAGTCTGTCGCTTGATGTTAAGATTTGAGGTCTCTTTGATTTATTTTTCCTTTGACTTTTGCTTTGCATTTTATTAATTCAAAGCTTTAGATGATGGTTGTCTACTTGTTTTGGAGGATATTAGTTTAAGGAACATAACAAGTATGTTCATAAGCATGGGATTTGAGATATTGTTGTAAGCAAAGCATAGAAATGTGGTTATTGGCATATTTGTTGCTATGTTTTTATGGATGTTGATGCATTTGTTTATAAGGATATGTTTGTATAACATGTTCTGCATCCTAGGTTCTTAAAAGGCTCAATACCCTTGCCTTATAACTATTTTATTAAAATAGAGTAGGAGAGTGTATTGCTGAGTCTGGTAAAAGAAGGGTGTACGTTGTTGAATCTCGGTGATTGAGTTATTTTCTGCGAGGTCAAATACAATTCTATTACGGCCAACCATATTTCAAAGGAAGTAGCTCATGTCCCTAAATCTTACAATGATTTGTCATGTTTCCCTGGAGCTGCACGCGTTGTCTTTTTATATTTTTATCTTGCCTAAAGTTCATTTCATGCTGCTTGGAATTTAGAAATTATTCAATGTTACTATAGTGCTCCCTCAAATTAGCTTTCTTCTTGCAATTTCTGGATTCTTCCACATGCATTCAGGCTTGATCCTGTTGCACATTCAAAGTGTGGTCCACCCTTGACTTTTTTTGTAGTTGGTAGAGTTTAAATTTTTGTCCTTTGCTTTAATTTGCACATGCATCTGTTGAAACTTTTGTGTGTGATGGGATCCTTAAATTCCAAGTATTGCTTTGTTTTCCTTGTCAAATGTTTAACCTTCATGATTTCTCCTAACCATATTGACTTTCATGTTGCTTTTTTGTATATTGCCTAACATAGAAACATACTCCGTCACTCCCACAAAGTAGGTTTGGAAACTGCTACAGGAGCATCTGACATTTCTCTTTGATGACTAAAGCAACAGTGATGTCAATATAATTTAGTGATTCAACTGCAATTGAACTTTAAATCAAAGTTGTAAATATTGTATTGGTATACGTATTAGTTTTGCTATTGAAACAGTACGTATTAAATATTGAAATTTTTTGCTTATCGTTTCGAATTTATTGTTATAAATATATATTTTTATAAATTAAATATCAAATTTTAAAATAATGATAAGAAAAATTAATATTTAAAACTATCATATTCTTATAAATTGAAAATAAGTTTAAAATGATTATTTTTAGTTCATCAACTTCTAATATATGCATATTTTTTGTCCCTCCACTTTAAGTTAAATGACAAAAAATGTGTATATTTAGATAAACTTAATGGAGTAATTGATAGAAGGACTAAAAAAATACATTTTTTTTATAGTTGATGGACTAAAAAAGTTAAAAGATGAAAATTATGCAAAACATTAAAGTCAAGGATCAAAAATAAAATTTACTTTTTTTAAATTTGAATTGAATTATACCTATTCATTTTCGTGTATTGGTTGGTATATTAAAATATCGGTTGGTACATTGAAATTTGATTAAAATAGATGAAATTTGACTCAAACAAAAATAAATTATGTACCATTTTGGTTTAATAAAAGAATTGGTACGTATTGACCATATCGATCGATATGATATGGTATCAATAACTGTGCTTTAAATGCACTATGTTATAAATGTTTTATTAATTTGCTTATCATAAGTTGTTAGTCTTATGATTTGCAATTAGAGGACATGAGTGTGAAAGATTTTAGTATCCTTGATCAATGAAAAGACTTCTTTTTTTGTGTTTCAAATTAGGAAAAATGGAAAATCAAGAAGTCTTGACATATCAAAAATATCTTGAAAATCCAAGGATCCTTCAAATTATATTATGTAAACTTTTTCTATGTTACTCCAACATAAATGTCGACATTCTATGTCATTATGAAGGGAGAATAAAATGGTGTCAATGGCTCTTGATTGGGCTTTTAGAAAGAGAAACTTAATAAGACCACCATTGCAAGTTCACATCTAAAAATAAATCGGTAATTTTTGGTTGCTTTCACTCAAAATGAACTAATTTTACAATTGCTCTTGATATCAAATTAATAAAATTGAACCACCCAAGGCAGATAAATTTGATATAAATTTTCCAACATGCCCTCTAACAGCTTGGATGTGATTTTCTACTTGCAACTCAATAGGCTTTCTGTAAGATTTGGTCATCTGAGCAAGTAAAGGATATACCATCCGCTACGCCCGGCGGAGAGGGGTGGTTCAGCTAGTCTCCTTGAAAAGACTAGGGCACTACACTGTTATAAGAGTGCAATATAAAACTTCACAAGATAAATGGTTCCATGGCATGCTAATAGAAAGATCTAATACCCATGTGTTGCGAGGCTTATCCACCTGTTTATATATTTATATATATGGCAAAAGTGCCCATCTGCTCATGAATTATAATATTTTGAGTCGTTTTTTCATGATGTTTTATTAAAACAACAGTTTTAGAATAATTTTTCTTCATTTTTCAATAGATAGGAGATAAATACTAACACCTATATATTTATTGTAAAAAATTAAGTAAAAAATAATCCAAAATTATATCGTTTTAATAAA